AAGTACCTCACCGCAATTTGGCAGCACACTGCCCAGTAAGGAAGGATACCATTGGGTACATGAAGGAAAAGGAAAAATCGAACAAACATAGAGAAACTGACCCACCCAAAACCTATGCTGCAATAACAAAGTTGCAAGACACCACCTCTAAAGTGTTAGAAAAACAAAAGATAAAGCCAACGCAGAAAACACTTACCTGAAGCTAAGTGAAGGTCTACCCTTCACAATACTAACCACACTGATATATGCCCACATAAACAACGTGGCTAAACCGGGAACATTCGGAAAAATTATCAGATAAATGTTTGCAGCGAACAACTTACCACAGGTAAACTTCCCAGACGATGCTCCATCAGCAGACATTTTCAAAATAATAACCGAAAACAGTCTAGGAATCACCAGCAAAGAAAAGAAAGATAAAATAACACAGCAAGAAGGTCGCACAGGAGAAGAGACTGCAATGGAAACAACCCACTCCCAACTAACCACAACACACTATGAGACCCAAGAGAACACAACCGACCAATCAGCGAAGTCAACATCGGTAGAACCACTTAGAGAGAACCCCACTGGTCAACAGCCAACCGACGCCGGAGAAAGCATTGGAATCAGATTTTACTCAGTCAATTCCCAGCCAACAGTAACAAATGAGAGACTGTTCAAAGATATTCAAGAAGGAACAACCAAATACACATACGAAGACAACAGGGTAGAAGAGGGACTCATAGAAACACTAATACGTGGAGGAAGAATAAGCAGCAAACATAATAAAATCGAGAGGGTAGACCGAACGAAATTCAAGAAAATAAGAACAGGACTGAAGGAAGAGAGGCAGAGGCACTCCCTTGGAGAAGCCCGAGCAACCAAACAACACGCACCAAGTTCCCGCGACCCACGATTACGCGCAAAACAGAACACTGAAAATAATACAACACAAAGTCCTGGCCTGGACACATACAAGAAAAACAGAACTAACAAACATATACAACAACAGAGACCCATACATAATTCTCATAAACTCACACGGACGAAAAAACAAAGACAAAATAAAACTCTTCAACTATTACACATCAACTGAACATACACGAAGAATTTAGCGACGGAGCAGCAATAGCCATCGAAAAAATATCAAATACAAACTCATAGACAACTTCCAAACCAACTTCTTAGCAGTCGAAATCAATACAACTAAAGGCCCAATAGCAATTGGTACAACATATTTACCTTGCCGACGACAAACATTCCCGACTGGTGACTTACTAAAACTAATGAGACGTAACACACCGGCATATTTTATAGGAGACTTAAACGCGAGACATAACCATACTCGGACACCGAACCAGAAACCCAAGGGGGAAGATAATACACGACTTATTAGAAAACGGCAACATCACACACCTGGGCCCAGATTTCGAAACCTACATAGCTGCAGCAAACACTGGGAAGCCGGGTATAGTTCTGACCAATAGACACCACCATTTGAATACACACATGAAATTTGGACCAACCACCACTAGCGATCACCTGCCCATAATTTTCACTCTACCAACATCACCAATACAAATCCCCTCCATCCCTAGATTCTCTTTCAACAGAGCAAACTTGGAGGGATTTAAGGCAGAACTCAGCACAAACGAACAAATACATCTACACAACAAAAATACTATAGACATTGACATAGCCCTGGAAACATGGTACACTAATGTCACCACAGCCATGGAAAACAACATCCCCAAAATATCTTACCGTACACTACCCCACGCACAATTAACACACGAACAGAAGATAATCCAGACAAGACTGAATAACTTACTAGAACACACAGTACAAATACACACGGCTGGAACCAAGAAACAACAACTCTTTTCAGAAACCTAAAGGAAGAGCTGAAAGAAATATGCAAACAATCACACAACGACAAATGGAATCAGCTAATCACAAACACAGAAGCCGATTATCACAACCCAAAACTCTTCTGGAGTAAAATAAATAACCTAATGTGCACTAACTCAATAGATAACAGCCATCGTATAGATGACAAAGGGGTAAAAGCTACAAAATCTGTAGACAAAGAACTGATTTTCAGAAATTTCTTGAGTAACATATATAAAATCACAGAAGAAAACAGAAACTACTGTAGAGTAACAAAACAGATGGTAACAACACACCTTACACTAAATACAAAGAAATAGCAACCACCAAGAACAATAGACCTCAACATACTAAGCAGTGCAGACACATTAACCACGCCGATCACCACAATAGACATAAAAAACATAATAACCAGTTTTATAAAGCACCTGGACTAAGTCAGATAAACAAAACCGTCCTTCAAAACATACCCACAACACTGAAAAAACAACTTACACAGATCTTTAACGCCTCACTAGCAAGAGGACACTTCCCCACGAGATTCAAAACAGCCAAAATCAGACTCATACCCAAACCCGGGAAAAACCCAACAAGGCCGGAAAATTACAGACCTATATCCCTATTAGAAACACCAGGCAAAATACTAGAAAAAATTGTCAACAGCAGACTCAGAAACTATCTAGAACAGGAAAGCAAATATAACCACAGACAACATGGATTCCGAAAGAACCAAGGCACAAACACGGCTATTGCATTAATTTACAAACAATAGCTAACGCCCTCAGCAATAAAAACCAGTGCAATGTCGTTCTCAGAGACGTATCAAAAGCTTTAGATAAAGTGTGGCACGAAGGCCTCAAATATAAAATAATTCAGCTTGACATGCCAAAAATAATGACAACCCTTCTCTGCAACTTCTTAGACAACAGACAAGCCAAACTTATTATAGACAACTACACTGGACATACCTTCAACATACACAGTGGAGTCCCACAGGGCAGCAACATTTCACCCACACTGTACACAATATACACAGCAGACATACCAGACCCAAGGCAGTCGGACTACATATAGCATACGCACACGATATCACACTAATAATACAATATCCAGGAGATCTAAGCAAATAATGGCTATAAGAAAAGGAAGAGAAATTGAAGCAATTAAAAACTATGAGAGAAAATGGAAAATCCAAACCAACATCCAAAAACTAAAGATCATATACATTGCTAAAATAAATCCATACCCAATCATAACACTGGTTAACATTAAAAAAATTCTCATGGTTCTGGATCAAAACAGTCTGATTCTAGTGTAATTGTATGTGCTGAACTCAATTATGACATTCGTATAGCTGTATCAGGCTCAGTTTTCCAGAACCAGCATATCTATATATTTAGTGTACCATGCTATTCATACAGTAATTTATATGCTCACTGGCTCCACTTATGCAATTATTTTGTCCTGATTTGTGCTTTTTTGTTTGTTTCAGTTTGCTGATTCATGATATTGCATATCTACACCTGCATGATTTGTAATTACTCTGAAATTAACAAAACATGGAACGTCGCAAGTGTGTGAACGGTGCTGACAGTTTTTGCTACATATGTGGTGCCTTCACCCCTGGTAGCCTCAAGAAACCAATCACAAAAGCTGTTCGACTGAACTACAAAAGTTACTTCAAATGTCATTTGGGTGACCAAGACAAGAAATGGGCACCTCATGTAGCCTGTAAGTCTTGTGTTAACCACCTGAGCGAGTGGATGTGTGGTAAACGAAGTTCAGGAATGCCGTTTGCTGTACCAATGATATGGCGTGAACCTAAAGACCACAGTAGTGACTGCTACTTCTGTCTCACAAATATTAAGGGAATAAAAATCAAGACACGAGGCAAGGTACAGTACCCCAATATTGCTTCTGCAATCCGACCAGTACTGCACAGTGCTGAACTTCCAGTCCCAAATCCACCGACTGAACAAGAATTGAGTGATTCCGATTCTACCTCTACCTCAATGGAAAACGACTACCAGGATGACTCTGAAAATACCAGGCCTAAACTATTTACTCAAGAAGCGCTTCATGATCTCATCAGGGACCTAAACTTGTCAAAAGAAAAGGCTGAAGTTTTGGGATCCAGACTAAAGCAGCGTAACCTGCTAGAAGATGGAGTGCATATCACTACAGCGCGTTAGCGACATGCACAGCTGTCTGCATTTTTCAAGATGGCAAACAACCTTTGTTATTGCGAGGACGCAGTATCTCTCATGCAACAACTCTGCAAGTCTGAAACATACAAGACAGAGGATTGGAGGCTGTTTATAGACTCAGGAAAAGACTCTCTGAAAGCTGTTCTTTTACACAATGGTAATCGGCTTCCATCTGTCCTAATAGCACACGCAACAAAAATGACTGAGAGCTATGAAACAATGAAAATTCTGTTGGCCGCTATAGAGTATGAGAAACACCAGTGGAAGATATGTGGCGATCTCAAAGTCATCAGTTTACTACTGGGCCTTCAGAGTGGCTACACAAAGCACATATGCTTTTTGTGCTTGTGGAACCGCAGAGCTGATGCAGAGCACTATGTGAGAAAGGATTGGCCGACAAAACCAAGAGATGCGCCTGGAAGGTTTAACTGTGCTCACAATCCTCTTGTAGATCCAGAAAAGATATTTTTGCCTCCACTGCATCTAAAGCTCGGTTTGGCTAAAAATTTCATCAAAGCTATGGATCAATTCGGTGCTGGGACTCTGTACTTATCTCAGAAACTAGGTGGTGTGGTTTCCGAAGCCAAGTTGAAAGCAGGTGTCTTGAATGGACCACAAATTCGTATACTAGTTAATGATAGCGAATTCACCAAAACATTGAACCCACTGGAGAAAAAAGCATGGGAATCATTTGTCAATGTGTCAAAGAATTTTCTTGGAAACTATCGTGCTGACAACTACAAAGAAATCTTAACAACCATGCTTCAGAATTATCATGCATTGGGAGCAGGGATGTCCTTGAAATTGCATTTTTTCCACTCTCATATTGAATTTTTCCCAGGTAACCTTGGAGACGTTAGTGATGAACACGGCGAAAGATTTCATCAAGATATCGCCATAATGGAGAGCAGATATCAGGGACAATTCAGTCCTAACATGATGGGCGACTATTGCTGGACACTGCAACGAGAAGAGAGCAAGCTGTACAAGAGAAAGAGCAAAGTTCAGAAGCACTTTTAGAACTTCATATTTTGTCATTATAAAGGATTTGAACTTATGTTTTTTGGTACAATTTTTTATGAGCTTATCTGTGATAGGTTTAAAATTGTATCTTGCATGACGCGATAATGTTACTATATTTACTATTTTTTTTATTCTTTAAGAAAGTAGGTCTGATGGTAGAATGAAACATCCAATTAATATTCATTAATATGAAATTAGTCATAAAAGCACAGTCACATGAGATAATCTCATCTTTTGCACGACACGTGATGGAATATTAAATATTTGTACATATTGATTTTTTTATAAAACCTGGTCTGATAGAACAAAACAAATATCAGATTCGAATTCAGCAATATGAAATTAGTTGTGTGAGCATGATCTCATATGTGAACCATTTTGGCTGTTGACCAGTGATAATCAACAATCAACAGCTACCATATGAAGAAAGAGGAAAACACTGGGATTTTCTTTGGTTCTAAACCTATCCATGCATTTGTTTTAGTTACGAACACAATTGAATATACTGTATATACAATATCAAATTACTTTACAATAGACAATCTTTAATGCGAAAATGTTTGAATGCAACTGCAAAAGATGTGGTGGCAAGTTTAACACACGTCTATGGTCAATGGATATTGAAAAGGTCATCAATAACTTAATTTCGACATCTATATATATATATATATATATATATATATATATATATATATATATATATATATATATATATATATATATATATATATATATATATATATATATATATATATATATATATATATATATATATTTTGTGACCAAAACAGACCCCCACCTGCGCAGATAGTTGTTTTAGCTACTGTACATAAAATATGTTTTGTTTTGTTCTTTGGAATATAAAATGAAAAAGAAACAGCCAAGATTCTTTTTTTCGATAAAGGATTAAAGGAAAGATTTCCTTATTCCTAAGTCAATGAGTTGTTCGAGTGCTTAACTATCTATTACTTATTAAAGACACTTAGATCTAAACGTTATATTCTTGTTCAGGCGGAGAAAAGGTTAGAGAATCTTACAAAAGAAAAGTTCAGCAACAAAACTAACGTGACGTTGTTGAGGATGTCAGTGAGAGCATCAAGAATCACTTCGGTGGTCAGTTCCTCCCACTGTAACGAGTGACCCAGGCCAGAGTCTCTCGCCCTCAGAGCGTTCTTGGGCTGGTCACTGAATAATGGGAGGGCGAGGAGAGGTTTGGCGTGGTAGATGGTCTCCTGCAGGCTGAGGAGTCCACAGTGAGTGATGAACACCTTCACGTTGTCATGAGCTGCAGTACACAAGTTATGTCAGAGGCAGGAAGGTTATGGTCAAATGTACTTTAGATTGACCCCTTAATCAATACACGGGAAAAATACTAAAGTTTGCTTAAAGAAGAATTGGTTCCAGGATATAATCCTACAAAATCATCAAGTATTTGTCTATTCACAGAACCTAAAACTGTGTTGACATTGATGTAATTGGTCATATTTAAGTATTAAAGAGTCGCCGTCTGTATGAGGACTTGCTGATGGACTAAGTAAAAGTCAAGAAAACATGTAAACATGTAATAATTTCACTCTTACTAGACATATGTGTTGAGGACATTATGATTTGACAGCCACACCTTTAATTGACCTGGATGTTTGTCACAGAAAGGAAGTGAAATGGATACGATAACGAAAACATAATGTATGATAAACATAAAAGAAGTAATTTTATAGTGTAGTTAGTAAAAGGAAATAAGGTGTGTCACTTATATGGCCACAACGGAACATATTTTACAAAATTCTGACAAACTGTACAAAAAAAAAAAAAAAGATGCAAGTGAACCGTTGGATGGACTTATACAGAGGGCAACAGTGACAGCACAAGAAGTAGTGGGTTTTCAACAACAAATATCCCAGACTAGACTCACCGAGAACATCCTGCTGGGGGAGCCACTTGCTGATCATCACGTTGTCGGGGACGTCCTTCAGCTCTCCCTCAAATTTCCAGATGACCCGCTGAGGTAACCTGCGGAATACCTGGAGGAAGATCTGCTGATACTCAAGTGGCAACGACTTACTGTCCATCACAGAACCCAGACTGAAGTAGATGACGCCCGCAGACCCAGCGCCATTGATCCAAGATTCGAGATCCTGTAAGACATCGAGTTGTAGTCAGCCAAGTTCTGGACACCAAGAATGTCCAGGGGAAGAAACGGGGGAGGAAGCTTTTGTGCCTGTCACTGTTATATTTCCAGAAGGAATCACATTACTAACAAAGTATTTACAAAGATGTTCTGATCGCTCTGGACAATACAATAGTTTTATTTTCTCGTAAAGTACACTCAGTAACACAAGGTTGTAACATAGGATTAAGAAGATCTGGAATTTGATTGGCAGTAATTGGCAGACAAATAACCGTAAGGGCATTTACTAGAGAAGGTCACAATATGGGCAGTACGTGACCTCCAGCAGTAGTAGTTACCTAAGCCACCCAGCAGGCGTATTAGCTGTGACCTCCAGTAGAAGGACTTAATGAAGCCTCAAACAGAAGTACTTAATGAAGACTCCAGCAGGAATACTTAAGTGAAACCTTCAGCAGGAAAACTTAACAGTCATGCAGCCGAAGTACCCAGTTGAGCCAAACGGCATGATCAGCAAAAACCATACCTGTGGCATGCAAATGAAGGCTTACCTCTGGTATGGAGCAGAACACCTACCTGTGGCATGTAGTAGAACATTTACTTTTTTTTTTTACGGGCATTAGCCCACCCGGGCACAGGTCATTTTTAATGACCCACATCAAGGCCTGGGGTTCGAAAATATAATATAATAAAATAATAATATAAAATAATTATGATGATGATGATGATAATAATAATAATAATAATAATAATAATTGTCATAAAATTAATACAAATATATATTAAATAAATAACAAATTATAATAAAATAACAATAATAAGAATATGAATAAGAAAATTAGTAACAACATTTAAATTAAATAACAATTATAATAAAAAAATTAATAAAAATTTAAAAAAATTATCAATAATACCCCCAGTAATAAGAAAGAGCCATAAATATATACATAAACAAAAATGAAACGATATATGTATGTTGTGTTGTCCAAGTAAGAGAAACAATTGAGACCCAGCAATTGTGTGTAAATGAGGCAGAAAGTCAGATCAGCAACCTGGGACTTGGTCACAATTTTTGTGATGCCATATGGCAGCAGGGTCTACCATTAGACAAAACATTACGCTTCTAATATCTTCCCAGGCGGTAGTACCTCCGTTTGATAGCTGCCTACTTTCCTGTGGCGTGCAACGGAACACATTTACCTGTGGCGTGCAACAGAACACATTTACCTGTGGCGTGCAACAGAACACTTACCTGTGGTATGCATAAAAACACTTACCTGTGGAAGGGGTTTACCGGGACGACAGTGCATGGCGCCCACCTCCACCTGTGAGGGCAGGAGGGGCAGCGCCTTGTCCATGGAGAACTGAGTGTTGAGAAGCACCAGACTTGTGTTTTTCTCCAGGTCTAGCAGCGGCGGTAG